TAAAATGTAATCGTTAATATCATGTGACTCGCTATACCATAATTGGAATCTCTCGTTATAACGATAAAATTTTATCTTTATAACGAACACAAATTTGCCGTAATGTATAAATCATACTTACTAGCCATAACTTCACCGGGTTTCACGAAACCGCTTACACCTTCAATAATATGATGTTTCACTTTTAATTTTGGATCTGTAATTGTGTATGTCAAGTCTTGCCAAGCGAGACTAACACTTTCAATCCCGCCAGAAGTGGTGGATATGTCGTCTTTTTCAGCGACTAACAGTGAAGGAATTGAAATAAACTTTAGATTAAATTCAAAACTACATTTTTTCGAAAAATAACCCATGCAACTTACCATCCTCAACTTTTAACGAGATATCAGTCATTTTTTCGGTATTCTTTGTATTATAATTAGAATGTTCTTCCATATATAATTAATTATTGCGATAAAAAATTCGATATCATTAATATGAACTTTCACTTCTTATATTCAACCTATGCTATTGGGTGAGTTTTAAAGTCTGTAAAAATTAATTGTTATATATAATGTTTCGTGAAGAAAGGAATTAAAACAGACCGAAGCTTTTTTAGAGCTTTCCTTTTGGATGTATGCTATAAATATCAATAATTGGTACAAGCATACTGAATTTATTGGCTATCAACTTATTTATTGTTCATGTCATCCTGTAATGCAATGTATGTGATTGTAAAATGAAAATCCAACCCATTAATCATGTGCACTAAAATGAGATTTTATATAATTATTTTGAAATTATACATAGGTGTTTACTATTAATGCTTCTATTATATTATTACAAAAATCAATACGAAAATGAATTACTAAATATAGTTTTTATTATCATTTTAGAAAAGAAATAACAATCAAAGAAAGAATTTTATTGGCTAAAAACTACATATACATATATTTTATAAAATAATCATCTTCGATCTGATGTCGGATATTTACTGTCAGATCGGAGTCAGATCGGAACCACATGATCTGCCATTTCTACGTGGTACATGTAGTTACCTAATTCGATTAGAAGTTTATCTCGCTTCGCAATATAAATAATACGGTAAAAACATTTAAAAACATGTAGGGTAACATTGATCGCATTACGTTAACAAATACATGTAAACCAATAAAAAGGCTTACATCGAGGTTAAAAAAGAATGAACAACATTCGATATGAATACAAATATAATGTATGCATGGATGCACTCGAAAATCAAACAGAAATTTTTATGATAATTGTTCTTTTAAAGAGTTCATAAATCTTCTGAGTGTTATTGTTACATATTGACGAACCTATAAACTTTGTTTCTAGTTTATCGTTAATTAAAGAATTTGACATAAAAATTAAGTAATCATTGTTATAATTTATAACTAAATTTTGCAGAATTATTTAATAAATATTTTCATGAGTGTTCATTGTATTCTAGTTTCGCGAAGCGAATTGGAAGCATATTTATATATTATTATTTGTTATATTAATATAATATTCTCAATTTTATAATTTGACTCTAGAATAAAACATGATAAGAAAGTTCTGCAATTTTAATTATTCGCCGAAAACGAGCTTTTTCAGGTGTAACTTTAAGAATTGTGACCATAGAATCAAATTTTTTATGCTCCATAATAACTGAGACTGGGAAAAGATGTCATTGTAGATGGGACGTGCTCGTATAGAGGCACAACCGTATAAAAAATAGATTTGCACATGTACATTGAAAATATTCCATGCAAATACATGCATTAGAATAATTGTAAGTTGCCCCCGAATCTTATTCCAGTAATTTGATTTGATGGAGACGGGATGAACGAGGTATTTGTAATCAATAGGTAACTCAAAAACATTTGTCTTAGATAAAGCCAAACATTAAATGCTCGTATGATATCAATATGTAATACAGTATATCATTTGTAATACAAATTTTTTTTTCATTAGGCTATTGGAAGTAAAAATCAAATAGGAAGATAAAGAAAAAGATGCCTTTATTATTTGTGAAGTTTTATGAATTCAATATAATACCATCCAGACTGATATTTTGTGTGCCAATGTCAGTATGGATTTGGATCAAAAATCCCGAAGAACAAATCCGACAAACTGAATCCTAAAAGAAAAAATCTCAAAGGTGCCGAAAACTAAAAAATCCCTGAAGATTACAATTTCGAAAGTTATTTCTGTGTTCTAACGAAATAGCTCCTTGCAAACCTTTATATATCATTATTATGTTCAATATAATCTCTATTCTGAATCCCAATTGAAATACTTTTCATATAGTAAATGGGATTACAACTTTTTAAATTGTAATCTTTCAGAATATAATATTTTTTTTCAAAGCCTAGTTATGAGAATTCAAATGCACCGATTATTAATGAAAATAAACATTTTGATTTTACTAACTATTGCTATTTATATTTACAATTATAAGAAAAGTTTACTTGTTAAGAAAATTCATAATTAAATAAACTCATTTTTCTCATACAACTATTTTTCTTTATTGTTATTTATTATCAAAAATTCTTGCAATTTATTTTTGTGCTTATAAATTCCAAATTCATTTGAATAATAAACAGATTATAATCAGATAAAAAGAGAACTTAAGTACAAGATGCATTATTATTTTGTACTACTTATTATATTTTTATATATATAATCATTCTTAATTTATTATATGATATTATTTGTTATTAAAAATATTTTTATCTTCAAAATATTAAACAAAATAAAAATAATAAAATATCAAATTTAGATTTTTTATCAATAATATACAGTCAGATCTTTCTATAGTTACTGCACTTG